AAAATAATTTACATTCATCCATTCTGTTACGATCTGAAGATCTTCGATAGTTATCTATCTATCTCTCTATCTCTCTCTCTCTCTCTCTCTCTCTCTGTGTATATATATATATATATATATATATATATATATATATATGTGTGTGTGTGTGTGTGTGTGTGTGTGTGTGTGTGTGTGTGTGATGGATACCCCCGTCTTTTCAACGTATGAGTGTCTCTCAGTTCAGTTTTTATGTTTATGTTTCATATGAGACAACGATCCTGCATGGAATTTGCAAACAAGTGCACATTTGGGACATGCTGAACAGTTAACCGTCATATGGGCTGATATATTGGCCCGAGATTTAATGTTGGTTCTTAATTCTCTCAGATTGTGGAGATGATACTTTTCAAAGTTACTCATACCTCGGTAGTGGGTTTTTCTGCAGCTTATTCAGTTTTCAACAGCAAGTTTAAACTCCTCTATAGCGATGTTTGCAGCATTTAAATTGTATTTAAGTTTGTCCTTGAAGCGTAACCAAGGACGGTCGACATTATGCTTACCATGTGAAAAGTGAGGATTTTCGGCATCCGAATATCACTCATTCTGATGAGATGATCAAAAGGATTAGATGCCACCATATTGATATTAAGGTCATAGAGAAGATATATGAAGGTCGATCGAATACTCTCATGATGGCTGACTACTGTTGGAATAATCAACTGAAAATCCACACATGAAGCACATTGGAAGATCCACAACATTGTTCAATGAATATCTATTTTCCTGATATACGATAATGTTAATATACGAAGTCTTTATGACAAGATGAGAATGACACACACACACACACACACACACACACACACACACACATATATATATATATATATATATATATATATATATATATATATATATTTTTTTAAATATGAGTCCTTCGCTACATAAGAGTTCTCATGTTTTAAAAACAAGACCCAAAGACCTAAATATAATTATTAAAATTAAATTGAACTAAAGTATCAAGCCCTGTTTCATCCTCTTGAAATTTACGCATCTTTATAAGCATGTTCATTCGCAAAATTAATTACTATGGAAACGGCGATCATTTTGATAAGGGGCCTAAGGTTTAATTTGTATCCACATATCAGTTCCCTTCGGAAATAGGTCAAGACGAGGTAGGGCCGGGGTGTCCATTTCAAAGCGAATGATTGCATTCATGTACGCACATGTATGTAAATATAAATATAAAGTGAACATTGAAGTCAACACTCAGACGCAGCTGACAGTTTGATGCTAGACGCAATCGACGACCTAACAATTACGTCTATCACGAAACAGTCTGTCGCCTCTGAATGTTGACATCAATGTTCACTTTTATATTTACATACGCTCTATCTCTGATATTGAGCACTTTATCCCATAAATGTAGCATACCTTAAAACTATATTTCTTCATATGTATATATATATATATATATATATGTGTGTGTGTGTGTGTGTGTGTGTGTGTGTGTGTGTGTTTACGACCAGTGAAAGTGCCTTGTTAGGTCTTAATTTATTTTTCCATATTTCTGATCATAGTCTTGTTTTCTACGACATATGCAAATTTTCTATTGCCAGTGTATTTACGGTTTTCCTAAAAGAGAATTTTTGTCTTTTGGGCTCTGTCAGTTTCCTCATTTTTCAATGTATTGCGTCTTTACGTGACATTTCGCTTGGAACTGGAATATTTGTTGCTAAAAGAAAAAAAAACAGAAAATAATTTTAAAAGCCAGCATCAACGAACACAAAAGAGACTTGCGTTTGGACAAACAACCTCTGTCGTTTTGCATCGAAACAATGCTGGATATAACTTTGATTTCATTAATGCCACCCAAATTAAAGAAGGTCATAATTCTTTAAGGAGAAAATACACTGAAAACTGAATAATATCATTATTACCAACTGTAAATACACGCCTAAAACATTACATTACATCGCCATCTTTCTTTGAATCTATTCTTAAACAATCTAACTTATATTTATCTAATACAAAAATACACGTTTAAAGTGGTCATCCATGAATTAGAATTATCATACACACCGTTGCGTGGGCTTACAGCACAAAAGTAAAGACATCAGTACTCCCACTAGCCAGAAACACATACACAATTTACGAATAACTTTACCATCCGATATCCACTTAGTCATAGAAGAATCTTCACAAACGTACATGAACATAGAATCATCTACAGTTTTAATTTACGTGACACGTGTCTGACTCAAACATGTCTTTATTGTATGTTTTCTTTAAATCTCTGACGAAGCTTTAATAAAATTTCAAAATGTTAGATTGATATACGTTTCCTATTTGTTCTTATTAGCATCCTGTTAGATTCCGATCCATATTTGATCTGCATTTTATCTTTAGGTCATATATATATATATATATATATATATATATAGGGCTTGAGCAAAATAATTGGAACACTTGTTAAATTGAAAGAAAATTTATTTAATATGGAGTTGGTCTTCCTTTAGCCTGACAGACATCTTTAATACGTCTAGGAATGGAATCATACAGCTTCCTGACTTCATCCAGAGAAATTTTCAGTCATTCTTCCATTAAAACCTTCTCCAGCTCTTTACAACACGGCGGTAGAGGATAGCGGCTCCTAACTTGTTGCTTCAAAATGCACCACAAATATTCAACATTATTGATATTTGGAGATTGGGGAGGCCACTCCATGTGTTCTAGCTCACTTTTAAGCTCTTTATACCAATTCTTAACCACTCGAGCGCTATGTATTGGAGCATTATCGTCCTGGAAGATGCAGTCACCATCAGGGAATAAAGACTTGGCCATTGGATGAACATGATCTACCAAAATGTTCAGGTAATCTCTGCTGTTGATTCTACCATGCAGGGCAACTATTGGACTGAGGCATTTTCATGATATGGCGGCCCAAACTATCACTGGTTCACCGACATGCTTCACTGTTGGAAGAAGGCAGTCAGGGTTGTAAGCTTCTTTGGGCTACCTCCACACATAAACTCGCCCTGAAGTTGGGAAAAGAGAAAAACTGGACTTGTCTGAGAATATGACTTGCTTCCATTGGTCTGCAGACCAGGCATTGTGATCTCTGCACCACTTCAACCTCTTTTGAATGTTGCGAGTGGAGAGAAGAGGTTTCCTCACAGCGGCTCTTCCATGATATGCAGCCTTATGGAGCTCACGGTGAACAGTTTTAGTAGAAACTGAACTATTCAGATGGTTATTCAACTCAGCAGTCACTTTGGCCGCATTTGTCCGATGATTTTTTGCCACATTGTGTTTCAATGCACGACAGTCCCTGTCAGTAATTTTGCAAGTCCGGCCCGAATTGCTACGGTTGCTAGTGGTATTTTTCCTCACAACACTGCACAATACAATTTTCTGGTGCTGATTGAAAATTTAGATTTGCGATACTGTTGATTATATATATATATATATATATATATATCCAGAGAGAGAGAGAGAGAGGAGGACAGATCACGTTACATAGAATTTATATTAAATTTTGAAACGTTGTATCTTAGAAATGATTAAAGATATGTTACTGGAATTCACCGAGGTCTTTATAACATTATTAGACTCTAATTTGAGCAATAAGAATGTATAATTACCCTCCAAACTTAACAGAAGAATCGTGATGAAAGGTTCGGGGTGTCTTTTGTATATGAATACGTCGTATTGAACTACAATTTGTTTTTTTTGTTTATGATTGGGTTTTTAAACCAATTGCTTTAATTGAACCTGTTTATAGATTCTGAAATTAAAAAAAATTTAAGCTAATTATTTAAGGCGAATATTTGTTGTTGTTGGCAAAAATAATAATTCTTAAGAACTTCGGATTATTAACCTAACGGTTTTTTTCCTATTTCATTTTCAATTTTACACATAAACACACATACACACAGACACACACACACACATATATATATATATATAAATATATATACCCATACATCAAACATATTTGCTCTGAATTTACATTGAGCTCTCCGGATATTCTCCTCCTTGGGTCTACCCATACGGATTACCTAGTTTTGCATAAACTAACTAAGTATATATATATATATATATATATATATATATATATATATATATATATATATATATTTGTAAAACATTCTTAGAATACTATGAGATGAGTCATCAGGATGTTTTCCTGGCTTCATTAAACGTATCGGGTTTTTAACATCAGACTCTTTCTGCTAGGTAACCCCCCACACACACACACACACACTTTCTGTTGATTAAGTACATATTCTCATCTCGGTAGTCGACTTCTGCGAAATCTTTAGAGATGATTGTTTTAGGTGTTTCTCTCTCTCTCTCTCACTCTCTCTCTCTCTCTCTCTCTCTCTCTCTCTCTTCTGGTGAATTTCTAAGTGTTTCAACCGTTCTGCCATCAGCCAACGAAGTTCTTTCACGCAAGTATCTAATGTCTACCAAAGTAAAATATTTTATCATTGTCTATGTGTCTATAGCCGACTTTTGGCGTAATCTGATTTTACAATTCCAACACTCAGGCAGGATTTCTTTTCTGGCTATTGTAGAAACGAACTCTCGGAATTGTAACCAAAATTATAAGTTATGAGTTGTCTGCTTATGTAAGAGAATAACAGTTTTTATTATTTGCATCAATGTGGGTATATATCTCGGCAGATTTTTAAATCATTGATATATATATATATATATATATATATATATATATATATATATATATATATATATATATATATATCAGTGTGACGAGTGCTTGGGTTTCTGTGTATGTGTGTGTAGAAGTTGAGAGTTGGAGGAATTAATGTATATGGCAATATGGCAAAATGCAGTGAACGAAATGAACTGGAAATGTAAGCAAAACTGAAGAATCAGATTAATAAAGAAAAGAGACTGAAAAGAAAGGCAAAAGAAAGCTGAATCGAAGAAATGGTTAGGGAATGAAAGAATTTAAAGAAACAGATAAAAAAAAAACAAGTTGCAAATTAATATCAGAAGAACAAGTAACGAGAGTTAAAAAGTTTGAAGAAGAAAGAATTTCGCATCGATGTAGAGGTGAAGGAATTGAAGAGATTGGCGAATGGACGATCGGGCAAGGAAATGTAATGAAACTCAACTCAGCAAATTGATTTAGAGGAAAACTCCAAAGAATCGATTCCATTATTGCCTCATCTTTGGGAATTAATTATTCCTTTTCGAATGTCCAATTCTTTTTGGGAAAATAGTTTTGGGCAGCACCTCTGGGAGTTTCTGAATTTCAAATGATTTGATCAGTCCGCACGAAATGGGAGGTTCAATTTACTTATAAATATTATACACACACACACACACACACACACACACACACACACACACACACATATATATATATATATATATATATATATATATATATATATATGTATATATATATATATGTCATATGGGATGAGTATTTGCGACTGTACGTGTGTAAACTCATATATCTATAAACTCAATGAAAGGCACACACACACACACACATACACACACACACACACATATATATATATATATATATATATATACACACACACACACACACACACACACATATATATATATATATATATATATATATTATAACAAACGTCTTTAGAAGCGTAGTGGCTTTTAAGATCCTTTTGATCGAGGTTGTTTTTATTTACTGCATTGATTTGACCTTCAGGTTAGACAATTTTATTCTGCATTTTATAAATTCAATAACAAATACGGTTTTGTGTCCAACTTTCATTGAATTTACAGAGAGATAGATATTGATAAGTTTGCCAGATACCCACATATATATATATATATATATATATATATATATATTTTATATATCATGTTTTTTATGTATGTTTTATAATGAGTATTAAAGTATATTTGAATTGTGTAGAGATGTATTGAACTTTTGGTTTGTATCCAGAATAATATTAGATAGATATAGATAGATAGATAGATAGATAGATAGAGATAGATAGATGAACAGAATAATATTAGATAGATAGATATAGATAGATAGATAGAATAGATATAGAATAGATAGATAGATGAACAGTGTGAGGTAGATATATCTGTTGTAGATAGATATGAACATAGATAGATAGATGAACATAGATAGATAGATAGATAGATAGATATATCTGTTGAACAGGAATATATCTGAGAGTTAGATATGAACATAGATAGATAGATAGATAGATAGATAGATAGATAGATAGATAGATAGATGAACAGTGTGAGGTAGATATATCTGTTATGAAGAGAGTTAGATATGAACATAGATAGATAGATAGATAGATAGATAGATAGATAGATAGATGAACAGTGTGAGGTAGATATATCTGTTATGAAGAGAGTTAGATATGAACATAGATAGATAGATAGATAGATAGATAGATAGATAGATAGATAGATAGATGAACAGTGTGATATATTAGATAAGAGATCTATTATGAAGAGAGTTAGATAGAACATAGATAGATAGATAGATAGATAGATAGATAGATAGATAGATAGATAGATAGATAGATAGATAGATAGATGGATAGATATATCTGGTAGATAGTTAGAGTTAGATATGAACATAGATAGATAGATAGATAGATAGATATAGATGAACAGTGTAGATAGATGAACAGTGTGAGATATATCTGTTATGAAGAACATAGATAGATAGTAGATAGATATGATAGATAGATAGATATAGATGAACAGTGTAGATATTCATGTAGATAGATAGATAGATAGATAGATGGATAGATAGATAGATAGATAGATAGATAGATAGATAGATGGATAGATGAACAGTGTGAGGTAGATATATCTGTTATGAAGAGATATGTTAGATATGAACATATGATAGATAGATAGATAGATAGATATAGATAGATAGATATGATAGATAGATATAGATAAACAGATGAATGTGGATGTAGATATATCTGTTATGAAGAGAGTTAGATATGAACATAGATAGATAGATAGATAGATAGATAGATAGATAGATAGATAGATAGATAGATAGATGAACAGTGTGAGGTAGATATATCTGTTATGAAGAGAGTTAGATATGAACATAGATAGATAGATAGATAGATAGATAGATAGATAGATAGATAGATAGATAGATATATCTGTTATGAGATTAGATAAACATAGATAGATATAGATGATAGATAGATGTTGGATGGATAGATAGGATAACAGTGTGATGAATATCTGTTATGAAGAGATTAGATATGAACATAGATAGATAGATAGATAGATAGATAGATATGATAGATAGATGAACAGTGATATGATAGATAGATGGATGGATGGATAGATATGGATAGATAGATAGATAGATAAACTGTTATGAAGAGAGAGTTAGATATGAACATAGATGGATAGATAGATAGATAGATAGATAGATAGATAGATAGATAGATGAATGAACAGTGTGAGGTAGATATCAACATAGATGTTAGATGAATGAATAGATAGATAGATATGATAGATGATAGATAGATGGATGAACAGTGATATATATAGATAGATAGATAACATAGATAGATAGATAGATAGATAGATAGATAGATAGATAGATAGATGAGATAGATAGATAGAGGTGAGATATATCTGTTATGAAGAGAGTTAGATATGAACATAGATAGATAGATAGATAGATAGATAGATAGATAGATAGATAGATAGATAGATAGATAGATAGATGAATATGTGAAAAAATATATCTGTTATGAAGAGAGTTAGATATGAGATAGATAGATAGATATGATAAACTGATAATAGATAGATAGATAGATGAATAGATGAACAGATTATCTGATCCGAATAGATAGATATAGATAGATGAATGATAGATGATAGATAGATAGATGAACATAGATCTGTTATAGATAGATGAATAGATAGATAGATGAGTTGGAGATATATCTATATGAAGAGTTAGATATGAACATAGATAGATAGATAGATAGATAGATAGATAAGAATAAACTGATAGACAGAATCATCCGATTGATCCGAATGATATAGATAGATAGATAGATAGATAGATAGATAGATAGATAGATCTTATATGATAGATAGATAGATAATTAAGAATAAACTTTGACAAATCATCCGAATAGATAGATGAAATTATTGCATGACTATAATATGATATTTTGCAAGTATCCCTTGAAATTATTGATTGATTTGATTGATTTTTGACAAATAGGCAAATATTTACCCCGTCACTTATGTTGTGTTTCAATGAAGAGAAATTATCATACAAAGGATAACTGATAGAAAATACATTCTAATCGAACATAGCATAAAACGGTAGATCGATTTTTGAAATAGTGGTCAGGATTATAAGTCAAGTGGAGTAATAATAATTGACCTACAGACAGACAAGTCGGTAAGTCGGCTGATAAATCAATAGCCGCAAGGGAACTACATGTCAAATTGATGTCCCGATAAACAGGCTTTGGGGTATCAGTCGACTAAATCTGGTTAACCTTGGTAGCCAATCTTTGTTGACGGGTCCCTCAGGGAAGACATATTCTTTTGTCTACTTAAGTTCGTGCGTCGGATTATTCGCTTGAACGCCTTTCTAAGAAGTTTTCTACATTTTTTTAAAATTATATTTATTCTTATTTGCAATGCTTTACTATTCCTCGAGGTAAAAGTGTTGTTTTTTTTTACTTTTCTTGTAACTCTCCTATCCCAAATGCTGCTTCGACGATGAAATCATCAGAATAATCTCGCCAGTTACCGCGCACGAGAATTAAACTTATTCATAGAATAAGAGATTCAACAATGAAGAAAAAATAATGAAAGAAAATTAATATACTGTATTTAAAATAGAGTAAATTATTAATAAACAAAAGATTTAAAGGTGGTCTTCAAAAATTCGGTGTCGAGGAGTTCAAAGGTGAAGGACTGAAACGTAGGGATTATACTTTAATCTTCTTAATACGCATTTATAGGAGCGTTTATATTATAGCATCGATTAATATTTTGCCCGAATTATTCTTCAGGCTTCCGTATACTTACAAAGCATATAGCACGTAGGAGTTCATTTTTTCATATGTTATATAGGAATGTTTCTCAAGTAATTCCACGTACAGCTACGCATTAAATAATAAAAATATATACTCTGTTCGTATATATGAAGGAAGACCAAAGAATAGATCAGCCAAAAGGTTGTGGATTATCTTCACATAGCTTAACCAGATCTTATTATAGGGCACAGTTAAGCACCTATAAAAACACGACACATCCTGTCCTCTTTCTTTTCTTTCATTCCTTTCCAGGTGAAGTGACAACGCCACCCAGCACATACCCAGACATGGGAATATATTTACCCTGAGTTGTGATATATCGCCCATTAGTGCATCACCCACATAATTCCTGACTTTTAATTGCTTTTATTACCTGCATACCAGAATATTCTCTCTTTCTTTTGACTCAGACGTTTTCCTTGTTGGTATTACTTTTCATTTCTTTACAATGTTCATTTACTTGTTCAAAATATTATTGCCAGTGTTTTATTCATACTAACCTGCAACCCTTGGCAACCCCGACGCGATTGCAACCTGCCGCTACTGGTACGCGGCCATAAGAGAAGAAAAAGAACACAGAATAATAATGATTGAAATGAAAATAACAAAATTTTACAGTACAAAATTATAATTGGGATTAGTATATATATATATATATATATATATATATAGAAAGAGAGAGAGAGAGAGAGAGGTATATACGGGATACAGGTTCGAATCCTGTATGTTTTCTCAAATTCGCAGGCCGGTAGACGAAATAGACGCTGTTTAAATAAACGGAGCGTCTACTCAAATGCGGGTATCGACTAAAAAAAAAACGTTTGTAATAAGAAAAATAGGTCAAATTTTATAATAAGTCCATGAATTATTTAGAATATATATATTAAACGAATTTCTTTTAGAATAAATATAATATATATATATATATATATATATATATATATATATATATATATATATATATATATATAAATAAAAAACAGACCACTTTAAGGTTCCATGTAATAAATTATTTCACCACAGCCCTTTTACAGGACTGCGGATCATCAGATTCTTTACTTCCAAAGGTTGAAATGAAATATTACACACACACACACACACACATATATATATATATATATATATATATATATATATATATATATATATATATATATATATACACACACACATACATATATATATATATATATATATATTACACACACACACACACACATATATATATATATATATATATGTGTGTGTGTGTGTTTGTGTAATATATATATATATGTGTGTGTGTGTATATATATATATATATATATGTCTGTGTGTGTGTGTGTGTGCGTGTGTGGAAACAAGTATTATAAAAAAGAACTGATAATTCTTGCCAAATTCCATTTTTTATATTATTTTTTCTAATTTCCGAATAAGTACAGTGCTCGATGTTGTGGATAAACTGTCAAAAGTTCATATTTTGTTATTTTGTTCGAGTTTTACCAACCATTGCAGTCTTTTAGTCAATGTGATATGCGCAAATCCTTCTGTAAGGAAATATATTTTATTTAAGCATTTCCCTGCACTGTGTTCTGTATTTTGTTATCATACACTTATTATGTTATGTTTATAATTCTCTTTTGCTGATTCATGATATACAGGTTATGTGTGCATGGATTACACTGAGATACGACACATGGCAGGTCAGTATATGAGAATGTGCCCGATGTATGTATTTAAGACTGGTTTATTAATGTTGAAGATGCAACATTTTTACATTGAGAGGATTTTTGAGGTTTGGTGTTATTAGGAATAATTAAATTGGATGTTTTAAACTTTTTATAGTAGATGGTATATATATATATATATATATATATATATATATATATATATATATATATACACTATTTATATTCGGACTATTGCCCTCATCTTTCTTGTTAGTATATCGACTGTTTCCTATAAGGAATTCCGAACTAAACACTTTATTTAATCTAAGGATGTCGACTGCCATGTTTAGGGATATCGTCTTATTTTTATTTATTACTGTTCAGTTATTTACAAGTAAACATTGCATAGGGATTGAACTCATAATCCCTATGTCAGCATATTCACAAACCAACACTTTTATCCACTAGGCCATTGTAGAACAATTTACTGAAATCTAACCCTTATTTTCGCCGTCATCTTCCACACATATCGGCATAAATTCTGCATCTTATTCTGTAATACTCTAACTCGAGTGGCTCTCATGTCTTGTACAGGGGGAAAATCACTGTAAAATATCACTTTCTATCACTTGCCATGTCCTGTGATTATCAATTTTTCCAAGTCCTCTAAGAATTTTTAAATGCTGTAAACTCTTCAATGGCATATTAGCGTCACATTTCTTGAACGCTGAACATTTCTTTAACAGCGTACCGGTCAGTGAATCTAAAGACATTATAATTAACAAAGTTTACAAACATCAGTTATTTCATATATGATATCTCTCAAGAAATGTCTATTAGCCTGTATAAGCACAAATTCTTTTTTCTACCACATGGGGAAATATATTTACACAAATTTATAATATCGCATCAAAGAAAATGTGCTCTCCAAACAGGATTTGAACAGCGTATTCTTTTAGAGCAGAAAAAAAACGCCGAATAAGACAATAGTTTCTACGGCAAATGAGATTCAAGTCAATATTAGAAAACAATTGATAAACTGACAAAATCAGCAGCTTTGGACGAAGTTAAATCTGAAAATATTTTTTTTTTAATATATAGCTCTGTTCTTAACTTCACCTATGAACAATTATCAATAACAGAATCTCTTTTGTAGGTGTAGTGAGTAATTTGAATAACTTTAGTTTATAGAAACTAAACAGATCAAAACCGTGGATCTAAAACTGTGAATACCCGCAAAGATACAAAATGTTAATCATAAATAATTAAATTTGACACATTTAATATCCTCAACATGATTAAACTTCTTTCCCGAAGTAAAAATTATTAAAAATATTTTAGCAATAATTTCCATAAGTTCGTAATAAACAAATTAAATGATCTCTTCCAACGAGAAAAAAAGTTCCAACAATGACTCCAACAAGGCAATGTTCTCTTCGAATTCGCTTTCCCATTAAGAGAATGTCGATCCGATATCAAGAAATACTGAAACAATATATACTTGGCTTACACAATTACTATATTATCGAACCGGCTAACTTGCAACTTACTGTACAATATCATATAACCAACACAAAACGCACAAAATCATAATAAGAAATTTCAGAATTGCCATATATATATATATATATATATATATATATATATATATATATGATGTCAGAGATGTAAAAATCATTCATACACGTAAGCAAATCATCGATCTTTCAGTTTTTATTGATCAGAATTTGAATCCTTACCAAAATATATCTGATGCTTCATAATTTGGCCCAAACTAAAACAAATGTCTGTATAGACCTCATATCTTTCACCCAATCTAAGTCCTAAGAGCCACGCAAGGTAGAGATTAAAAATGTGTTTGTTTGTAGACGTAAAAGTGCGTAAAGGAAAGTAAGTGTAGATTATGAACGGTTGACCCTAGATTGGAAGAGATTAAGATTTTAGTGGTCAGAGAAGGATCCTCCCGGGAGTCTGTTCTGGAAAATAGAGACACGTGGAAATAATTCATCGCCCACTAAGCCGCATAAGCGTAATTTAATTCTGTCAAGGTTGGAAAGTGGGGAGTGGTTAGTTCAAGTCCAACTGCAACAGAAATACTTCATATTTGACCTGATGTGACTGTTATTAAGACAGAGTATGAAAACTTTAGTCAGCTAATTTGTGGAGCGGCATAAAGAGCTGAATACTTTTCTAGTACCGTTAACAATGGATTGTCTGTCAATGAGCTGTACGAGATTTGAACATTTGTGCCAAACAATGTTCGACTTTTGTCCCAAAAGATGTTTAACACAAGATGCCTCATTCAGTGTTCAATAAATCATCGTGACTGATGTAAGTTACTGGTCACCTTGGTGATGATAAAGATTTGTTACCTTGGTCGCTGACGTATTTAAATTTACAAGGTAGTTTTCCCCCAATTAGGCTGATAGACCTAGGTCACATGAGAAGTAGGCTGCCAAGATCTGATCATATACATCAGATGGTTAATATAAAGTAGGCAGAGGGTAAAACTTAGTAAGCTTTGTATGACGTCGACATTGATTTCATAGGTTTCAGAAGCCAGCCTATTGACAACGACCTTCAAGAACCAACCAGTTAGCGAACACTTGATAACTGAGAAAACTCTTTCTGAGATTTTGTAGCTGAATTGTTTGTGTAGCCACTCACTATGTCAAACATTGTTAAAATCATTTGAGATATCAAACGGGATTTCATTCGGGTTGAATTGCTTTTGTGACCCACTGATTGTCTGTGTTATGTCAGGACGTCTACAGTGGACCTAGAAGTGCGAAATCCATACTGCTTACCGCTCAGGATGTTGTTTCTCTTGAGGTAGTCACCAAGCTTCTTGTTGATAAAATGTTTTTGTTGGTGATCCTAAGGAGGTTGATTGGCAGATATTAAAATAGGGATGAGAGATACCCCACAATTTTCAAGGCAATACAGACAGCTGTAAAACTCTAGTTGCGGGGAGATATTTCTCTTTCCGGTATCGGCAAAACAAATTTGCCAAGCATAGAGAGAATTTTTATCCTGATACGCATGCTTCGTAGAGTCAAGGATTTTGCTACGTCTGAAGACTTTACTTGGTGTAAAAGAGTTTGTATTCCATATGAAGTGGGAAGTCGGGTAGGGTGATGGTCCCTGATGATATCTTCAAGAGTTCGTAAGAACAAAGTCATTTGTTTTCAAATTCATAGTGAGCAGTACATTCTGTCGTGAAACAAGGCTCGTTGTTCAGTTTCTATTAATACATTCGGTGCGGTATAAAATTTTCCACTCCAGAAAGAATTCCTTCAATGATGAAGGAGGTTGTCCTCGAAGTTCTATTTTTGAAGAATACCGAAATAGGATCATAACCATTATAAGATCCGAAATTATACCAATCAATATTGAGGCGCCGAATTTTGACACTGATCATCTAAGGATTCGAAGTTCCTAAGGTGGATGACGCTTCAACAGAGCATTCTTCGGGATAGTTGTGCGTACGCACGTCTGTGTGCTTGTGTGCATGTGTGAAAAAATACTTGTCCGAAAAAATGAATTAAAAATCGTAATGAACTAAGTTCTATAGATTTCGAAAATGATATCGAATTATTATTTTTTTATTTATTCGTTAATTCGGGATAATTTATGAGGGTGAAAATAGTACTACTTAGTTAACTAAAAAAAGAAATTAACTAAGAATAGATAGATAGATAGATAGATAGATAGATAGATAGATAGATATGAACAGACTGAGATAGATAGATAGATATGAACAGACTGAGATAGATAGATAGATAGATTTTATAGAAAAGCAGCTTAGATAAATTTTACAAGCTTATATAGATAAATGTTTGTGCGCGTACGCATGTGTGTGTGATTTACCACAGAATTTTATACGGCTTAATTCAGAAGTGATTTCTGATAATATATGAAAACGATCTCTACTCGGAAACGTCTTCCATCATTTGTTTATTTAGAGACCTGTCCAATTTACATCAATGAAATTCTGTGATATAACCTGAACATCGTTCTTTCTCATAAGGATGGATATGTGTTTTGTGTTTTCCGTTTCTAACAATATATGAGAAAACAGAAATGGATATAAGTGATGAAATTAGTTAAATAATACATAGAAAGGGTTACCGAACTTATTCCAGAGATTTATGATAAATATAACAGATGTATTCGTTTTGAATAGTGAAATAACAACTTCATGGGAAATAGAGACTTTTGAAAAGTTGTGCCGCGCGCATTTGGCAATTCTTAGAGAGAAAATCAAAAGGAAAACGGGAAAGAATGATTTTTAATTATCAGTGAATGAATAGCTCTGTTTTGGCAGAGGATAAAAGACATTCGAAAATGGGGTGTCATAGAGAAAGCGTGCTTAATATTCGCTCAGTGGGGATGGGAGAGAAACTCCCTCGTGACTCACAGAGCTGCATTTGCCAGTAGTCAAGGTTCGAACCCAGGTTAAACAAACGACGTTGAAAGCTGAATTTCAAGGCAGACTGATCGTTGGCTTTTAATGTGATAAGTGTAACGCAATTTTTTTCTATTTCCCACCGCCTGTTATCGAACCCTACAAAGTTAGACTATGAAGTAAATAGGACCACAAAATAATTCAACTGGTTCTTAATTCACTGTCATGCAGAATAGAGTTTATAAAAAGGCTGAGATATATACTTCGATGTCATATATTTGATGCCCGAAAAGTTGACATTATGCAATATTACGATAAAGGATTATTTCTTTCATTTGAAAACTACTGTTTTTCTAAGAAAACCTAGATAACTTGTGTTCTCTGATTTTTTAATGGTCGTCTATTCGTTTTGCGAGTTACAGATCTTTGGAGAAAGCGCACTAAATGGAATGCACATTAGTTAAAAAAAGGCCGGTACATTCGGAACCTCAGAAAAAGATTTTTAACAGCATATTCTTCAATGGTTTCCAATGGTTTTCGCTCAGCCCAGTTTTACTCAGAAAAAGCTCCTTTTAACTTCTATTTGTTACTGCTTGTAACAAATGTAAGCGATTCCTGGAAGAAGTTAAGTCTCTGTTTTCTGAAAGAATGAGGCATTATAAATGAGGCACCTAAAAACTTTGGCTCCCGTGACTGTTATAAATGGCTACTAAATAAGTGCAAGGTCAAGGGTCACTCGATTTGGGGTGTTATCATCCTCAACTGGTACAGCTGAATGATTTGCCCGTAAATACTCCTTAAACTTTTCTCTTGACTCATCTGGAGTCTACTGCCTAACTTCCTACTTAGAACTGATTCTCTGTTAAGTGATATACATATAACTCCTTCCATGATTTCTGCTATCATCCCTCCATAAACCATGTGGACCCGATGGCGTACCTTTAATAATCATTAAGAAGTTTGCTCCCGAAATAGCTCCTGCTCTCTCTAAACGCTATTATAAATGCATCGCTGATTCATGCTTTCTTTCTTCCTGTTGTTCCAATTTTTAAGAAAGGTGAACCTTCTGACCCATACCACTATCAGTCCATTAGACTTCTATCTCGTTTGGGAAAACTCCTAGAGGCCCTAATCAATGCTGAATTGGTTCATCATCTCATCACAGAGTCTTTTCTCAGACAAAGCAATACGGCTTTCGTTTCTCAAGATCAACTGCTGATGTATTATTGATACTTGAGGAAAGAGTCTATAATGCTGTAGATAAAAATGGTGAATCCCGGGCTGTAGCATTGGACAACTCGAAAGCCTTTGACAGGGTCTGGTATTCAGTTTTTTTCCACAAGTTTAAAATTAACGGCATATCCAGGCTCGTTTTTGAGTTGATCCAGTCGTTCCTATGAAATCGTGAAATGTCCTGAACGACCACTCGTTTACATTCTTTCGTACTAACGCAGGTGTCAACAAAAGCTCCATCCTTGGTGATGCGCTGTTTTTAAGCTTCATTAACGACCCTCCCGATGGCATCTACCCTCAATTGGCATTTAATCTTGCCTCGATAGTAAGGCTGATCAATCTGACATGGCCAAAATAGCAGCTGATGTACAAAACGACATCAAAACCATCGTTAACTGGAGCTAAAGATGTCTTGTCAATTTTAAGGCCTCTAAAACTAAACTGCCCTTCATCAATCATCTGAGAGACATCAGCTGAGAGACATCCTCATTGCGACTTCTCGGACTAACGTTACCAGCTGACATAAGGTGAAAAACCACATTGAATCCATTGTTAGGTCAGCTGCTAAGAAATTCTGTTCGCTGTGTCGATCGAGACAATTTTTCTCTATAGAATTTCTCTTGCATATCTTTAAGTCTACCATTCGTCCATCCTTAGGATAATTGTGCCATATATGGTACCGTACCCCTAATATTTACTTCGTGCTCCATCATAAGATCCAAAGAATAAGTAATATTATTGGTCCTGATCTGGTAGTTCGGCTTCAGTCATTTGACCAAGGACGTAAGGTTGCCTCTCTGTGCCTTTTTTATAAATATTTTTATGGTAATTTTTTGGATGAGCTATTCGCTATGGTACCTAGAATGTATTAATTTAAGCGAAATAATAGACTGACGGCGATATCTCATCAATTTACAGTTGAGCAAGCTCTGTGTAGTTGTAACTTCTATACTAACAGTTTCTTATCTTGCACTTTTCGATCATGGAATTTCCTTCTGGCTCCATACTTTCCAGCCAACATTAACAAGCCAATTCTTCAATGTTGAACAGAGGGCAACTCTTAGATTAAACTGAGAAACAGCCAGATTGTTTGAAACTGTTGTCTAAATGTAACAGTTTTCAGTCCATTATGGTAGTTTTGGGAGTAAACTTTGAATTGTATATGTCTTGTTAATTTCTTAACTACAGTTTGAAGAAATTCAATATTAATAGAATTTGGTGATCTAGCTCAAGGGAACTCTTTGATAGAAAAATGTCCTGATCGAAAATGACTACATCATCATTGACTTGTCTGTATACTTAAAGATTCATTTCAATAGATAGAACTAATATTTCTTGCCTTTTCCTTTTCTCTTAGAGAACGGTTTGCATTCGTACAGCATAGTGTCTGATATGGATTTGATTAAAACTCATTTTAAAAGGGAAAATCGATATAAAATTTAACCGCTCGAAGTAACTTTAGAAGTTATATTAATTTATCTGCAAATAAAGAAAGCACCATTAGATTTTAAAAATTAATTTGATCCTCTTAATGGGCCTTTGCTCTAAGATAATCGGTCTTCGCTTCCCTACGGACATTTGGGAGGGGGGATCTTGCAACTATAGGACAAGTGTGAATCTCGATGGTGACTGCATGGAAATGGAGTATAGTAGTACTGATAACATATGCAAAATGTCTTATTTTATCGTAATAAACGTTTTTATTTCCCTCTCTCTCTCTCTCTCTCTCTCTCTCTCTCTCTCTCTCTCTCTCTCTCTCTCTGTATGCATGTGTGTGTGTCTGGAGGGAGAAACTGCGATGATGTTGATGAATTTTAGGCTAAGGTTGGATAAGTTATTTTCGATGATGGCTGTTATGAAGTTGGGAGGTAGGATTATGTGTACACTATAGTTGCTGCGATTAATTTCAGTCTTTCGTGATTTCAAGTGCCACAGAGATTTCTGAGTTTTGGTGTTGAATTATTCCAATCAAGTCATTCAAAGCCAGAAATCTGCAGTAAGAACCGGCTGGCGAAGAAATAATTCTGAATCATGGCAAAATTTCATCCGTGAAACGAAATGATAGACCCGCTCCTACTCATATCAGCTGATAAAAAAAAGACTGTTTACAAACTGCAAGAATAAATAATTTTCTCTTATTTGAACGATGTTTCATTAGCTTTTATATATCATAGTAAATAAAGCTTTGTTGACAGAACTGTATTCTATGTCTCGTTTTCTTTGTTCATTTTTTTTTTCTTTCGCCTAAGCGCATAAAGACAGGCCGTCATATTTTTTGGTGAATATCTTGTTTTGTTTTCATAGCCTTGGCCACGTTGGACACAGGCGACAGATACGTCTGGAAGGAATAAGCAGAGGATATGTATATATCCGTAGTGCTTTAAACAAAATATGTATATACATATATGTGAACACATTAAACAAATGTCCTTTTGTGATATATATGCACGCCCCCACAATAATCGATGTACACTTTAGTTCGTATAAAGACTATCTTACACACGTGTGTTTATTTTTACATACACGCAAGTGCTCTTGCGCTCACAGACAAACACTGGTACACACACACATACACATGTGTGTGTGTGTATGTGCGTGCGTTTGTGTGTGCGTTGGTATGTGCAAAAATGTCTAGGATTATACTTATTTTCTCAAACCTTATGATGATTTAATATAATAAATCATTGAATTCATTGTACGTGATCACAAATTTTGGAGCATTTTCCATTTAAACTCGACATTGACAGATATTTCCTTGGAATTGTCTGTTGCAGACACTGATTCATCGTGTTCTTTTCCCTTTGATATTTTGCTAAAATACTAAAATAACTATAGAAGTGCCGATATCAATTACATAATTTTCCAGACACAAATGCAAAGATTCGTGTTTTAATGCGAATATGTATTTTTTAAAGCCCACCCCCAAGAGGTAGTGCCACTAGCACGCAAGGGGGTTACAGAGGGTGTGAGCAAGAGTAAAGAGGCGAGAAAGAGGAAAGGATGAAGAAAAATTCGGGGAATACATCAAGGCATCTGAAGATGTCGATTGACATTGCATTTAAATAGTTGGAGACTATAGCTATCAGGGAAGCAAGTAAGAGGAAGGGAATTCCACAGACGAGAAGTGCGAGACATGAAACTCTTGGAATAGAAGAAACGGCTACATTTATCCGTTTCGACAGTAAACGCGCGGGACTGAGATGCCGACCTAGGGCACGTTTAAATTCATGCAGTTTGGAAACTAGCGAAAGTATCTCGTCGGAACAGTTACCGTGAAATTATTTGTAGAAAAGACAGACGGAGGCGACGCCACGTCTGTGAGAAAGCGACTGTATATTCATAAGTCGATTACTACAGCCAATTTTCATTAATTGTTCCTACAGAATTTCAATTCTCTCAAGCTATGAAATGTAAAATGCACTTCGTTTTTAGATTTACACCAAAATATGTAAATGTTGTGGCATATCCACGGACGATAATGGGTATTTCATCATTCCCATAAATTCAGTAGTAAATACTGCATATTGGTCTGCAGTCGGAGATTCGTCTCCAGCTTTGATGGTCAAACTCTCAGCCTCCGGGCAGACAGGATCTCCAGACGAAGCTATGTCAAAGGGCAGAATCTCGTCTCGGGAAACAGCTTCCTGACCCGTTTTATACGGGGTCTACAGGGAATTTTTAGCCGAGTCTATGGGCTTGGAACTCCACATTAAATTCAGCCTTGTGCCACATCTGACCACGTGGGACGGTTGGTAGATATCCTGCAGTTGGAAATTCATTGTGAAATTCACTTGACTCACTTCTAGCAGTTGACTACTTCTACGCGCCGCTGGCGAATCTTATATGTGTTGTTCTTGTCCTAAGTATTATCGTTCATTACCAACATTCGTTTTATTATTCTATTCAGTAACCTCTCCTTAGGTTACATCAGTAAACATCATATAAACTTTATGAATACTCTTTATCTCTCTTCCCCTCTACACAGCTGTTCATGGCAGATTCACAGGTTCCATTTGTCATCTGCGAATTCTTGAGAAAAAATTGAAATCTTTTCCTGTTGACTTCTACATTGTTTTGAATACAGAAATATATGAATATTCCTTCTACTGGACTGGTAACCGCCCAAGGCTACAGTTCCTGGTCTATAGCTGCAGAGGGTTTATAGCTGTTGGAGTCAAGATTTTCTTACGGTTATATTGTGAAAACGAATGCAACAAAACCTAGATGAAATTTGATAGGCACTCAACGATTTTAATTCCTGCAGTGAGATACGAACCGTTTCCCGCACATAACATTTATGTGCAAATTTTCCGAAATTTGAAGTCATAGATACATGGATAGATAGGTTTTCAAACTAGTCACAACACATTGCATTGCATCTAAACATATGGTTCTGTTGTTAATATTTCGGTCTCTGACGTAGTAAGGCGTCATAGAACCGCATCATAAATTTACGACATGCGTCTGCTATTCGGCGACCGTTATCGTCGCATAGCAATCGTCTGTGTCAATATAAGAGAATACTATCTTCGATGGTGAATATCTTTGTTGAAATGTCCACATAATAACTCTGAGGATGAACCGAAAGGAAGAGAATAATGAAAGATTATCCAAATGTTGGACAATTTTTGTCTTTATTTTCTGACGAAATTAAAGCAACTATACGAAGTTTAGAATGTTTCATGTTAAAAAATAATAGACATTCGTTGTATATTATATTTAACAATATATGTTTGAATATATATATATATGTGTGTGTGTGTGTTTAATGTTATTTGGATCAATTGTCATATACATATACCGGTTATGTTGATGAATTTTAGGCTAATGCCGGATAAGTTCGATGATGACTGTTATGGAGTTGGAAGGTAGGATTATGTGTACATTTTTGGTGTAGCTGATGCGATTAATTTCGTTTTTGTCTTCTTATTCTGTGTATTTTTTAAGCTTTGCGTTAGACATTGTAAAGGAAATAATTCGGGTATTGAGTTTTCAATGTATATCTCATCACCGAGCAGGAATTATATGCTACAAATTCTAAGGGTCCTTAAATAAAAGGTTAAGAATAGCATGATACATCCTACAAACACGCATTTATATATACATATATATATATATATATATATATATATATATATATATATATATATATATATATATGTGTGTGTGTGTGTGTGTGTGTGTGTATAAACACATATATGAATGAATAGCTTCAGTCGAGTGTGTGTGTCATGTTTCAGCAAAAAACTTCAAGAAATATGTGAACAGTTTACAGGGTGTGCACACAAGGCCTTAAGATTGCTTATGAATCATCTAATCAAAGTGTGGCCCCTTAGTGTTGACTTCAGGGGTCTACCTTTTATATTTATATGCAATCTATCTCTGAGATTGAGCACTTTTACCGATAAATAGAGCATACCTGCCATCTATACTTTTTCATATATATATATATATATATATATATATATATATATATATAAGGAACGATGATAAAAAAATTATTTTGACAAAAATAGGTTTCCGTTTGCCATCCACTTTGTTAATTACTTCCTTTACACATATATTAATTTATATTTTAATTTTGCACACACACACACACACACACACACACACACACACATATATATATATATATATATATATATATATATATATATATATATATATATATATATATATAAAGTCCATATATCTGTTAATTTTTTATATCCATTTGCCCATGTTGATCAAACTTTACTTTTCATCTCTCAGACCTTGTATATTTTCTTTTCGCTTCCGCACACGTACACACACACGCACGCACGCTCAAACACACACACACACACACACATATATATATATATATATATATATATATATATATATGACTGCCTGTGTTTTATTTCTATTATTTGTACATTGGCTAGTGACGTAGTGGTCAGCCTCTCCTACCATGCCCGTCTGACCCCCAGCAAATTGTCCCCTTGTTCGGCGGCAGCCTTTCAACACTGTCCAAAGTAATTCGACTCCAGATCAAAGAACACTGAATTTTGAGATGAATGACCATGGTGAACATTGCTGCTTCGCCCCGCTGCGCTTGTCTTTTCTCTCTCTTCGTTTCCTTTTGCCCATTCAACACCGGGGTCGTGACCGCGACACCTTCGTTATTATACACTTCTACCCCCCTACCCCCCTCTTCAGATTATATCTATTGTCCTTGCACGCAATCAGGTAAGTGAAGAAGGCGAGTAGAAAAAGAGAAGAGGATGAAAAATCAGAAGAGTATGGTTGGTAGTAAAAGAAACGCGCGCGAAATCTCGCAAGTGGTCAAACGAGACAAGAACAATGGCGGCAAGAACATGAAAAATGGACAGACGAAAGGAAGAAGCGTGAATTTCTCTATTAAATAAAAATAATCATCTCAAACAGCACGTTGTGATTTAAACATTAACAATTGCACGATAACAAAGATGATAAGAAAATATTTTCCTTCCTAAGTGCTTCTTCTTGTGTTTTCTTCTTCTTCTTCTTCTTTTCTACTTCTTCTTCTTCTAATTATTATTATTATTATTATTAGTAGTAGTAGAAGAATTTATATTATTAGTAGTATTAAACAGGACAGACAGAGACCTGTAGCCTTGGTTGGCAACCAGTCTATTGCACAAAGAAACGGCAGCCTACTGCGAAAAAATCTTCTACTCCGTCAGTCATGAATCGAAAGAGACATTATCGCCTTAGCGGGTATCGGATATTACACTTAACTGAATATGTAGTAGTAGTAGTAGTAGTAGTAGTAGTAGTAGTAGTAGTAGTGCTTATTGTTATCATTAGTATATATATATATATATATATATATATATATATCCCATCCTGCGTTCTGGGCATATCAGATGACTTGAGAACATTACACGCATGGATAACTCCAGAACTCCAAAGCATATGATGTATGGGGTGGGGGAACTGTCTGAGGGCACACGTAACGTTGGATCACCCAAGCTTCGCTTCAAGGACCAGTGTTTTACACAGGCTGTTGATGGAATTTTCTATCAAGGTTTCGAACTGGGATGCAGTTTTCCGGGATCGAGTTGGGCGGAGAGCTGCTGTTTTCGTGGGAGAAAAGAGCTATGAAGACAATAAAGTCCAACGCAATGTAGAGGCTATATATACAAATGCTCTACGGTGGATGACTCTTCATTAATTTACTACTGTAGTCGTTGTCAAAAACCGTGTCGATCGCGTACGTATTTTATTTTCCGCTACCGACTGTCGATGAAAAAGGCCATATAAGTTATTGTTATTAATATTATTAGAAATTCTATCATTATTATTATTATTATTAATTGTTATTATTGCTATTATAGAAATATATATTATATAGGGTGTCCATAAAGTTTGTATGCACTTTAAAAAATTACCACTTTATTTGTATTTACGATAGAAATAATTTGTAAAAAGGATTAGAAAGAAATAAATCTTTTTTTTTCAAGGTTTTATTGAAATTTTATTTAAGTTTCCACATGTCCTCCATCATTAGCAATACAAAAGGTAATACAATTTTGCAGTTCACGGAAAACATTTGCCAACTGATTTACAGTAATGCCTAAAATCACATTTGTTATTTTTCCTATACTTAAAACTTCGGAGATTAAACTTCATAACATTTTTACAGATTATTTCTATCGCAAATACAATTAAAGTTATAAATATTTTAAAGTACACACGAACTTTATGGATACCCTTGTTTTTAGAAATATTATTATTATTATTATTATTATTATTACTTGATATTGTTATTATTAGTACTAGAAATATTATTATTATTAGTAGTAGTAGTATTAGTATTGGTGAATGAGAGAGAAACACGCGGGAAATGTGATGTTTCGGGAAAAATATACGAACCTGATTATAACTATCATGGCAGATATAAGTTTACCAAGAACATGCATGGCAGCCAAATATTGGTTATGCTGTATTTCATCTCCTTCGCTAATTCCTAGGTACCTATAGGCTGCTTCTTGTTCCAATACCCTAATGCTTGTGACAAAATCTAAATCTATTGAATGTGTTTTTGTAATTCTCCTTTTCGTGAATGTTACTTTTGTTTATTTATCTAATCCGAAACCCATTCCTATATCGTCACTAAAGCATTTTACATTATTAAGGAGACCCTTCAACTCATTGCCGTCTTTAGCAAAGAGTTTGAGATCACACATGCAGAGAAGGTGATTGAGGACTTTCTTGTTTGGTTTGTAACCATAGCTACTGTTATTTATGTGTAAAGGGGGATTAAAGACTAACAGAGAGTTTTCTTGAAAGATTTCTCATCGGATATTCAGGCGGTTGGATGTGGCATTGGCTCCTGTGCGATTTTCCACATTCCCATGCTGAGACTTTTGTATATTTCCAAAGTCTTAAGGCTCCAAGAATGTGGCAGACTATCAAAGACTTTACTGTAATCTAACCAAGATGTGCTGAGATTTTTTACCTATTTTCCTGCAATGTTCCAGGATCATTTTGTATCTGTCGATATTTCTGAGATGAAGTATTATGTAGACTATTTACATTATTCGGACTATTGTCCGCATCTTTGTTATCATACTTAACAGGAGATAACTGATAACTGACATCCATTACATATGCCACGTGGAACTAGAAATGTCTACCCCAGCGAGCGAAATAAAGGGTTCAGTTCGACATTCCAACCATCTGAAGAAAGGCCGGAGCGTACAACGGCCGATACGTTGTAATAAATATGGCAACAAAGATGAGGACAATAGTCCGAATAATGTAAATAGTGTACAGGATCATTTTGTTTCTCAGTAGTTGATCTTTGCATCCATATGAGCTCTCCGACATCACTTCTGTCGCAGTGGAATAATGTTGTTTGATTCGAGAAAAGAATAAGTACGGTTTGTCAGGACAGACGTGATCAATTCATACGTGTTGAACAGATAAGCCTATAATTTTTTGGATAATCTGTTTCATCTGTGCGTATTTTTGAGTCCCATAAAATTGTTACAGGTCCCGCCGCTGTAGCCGGGTCTGAGTGATGTTCACACCAATTTGCAGTTTTCTTCCTGTAAATTTTCATATTTGCCATTGCAGATAATGGCCCACTCTGTCATGCTGAGTTTTATATCTTGCCATCGTTTATGCATTTGGTTCATTGCATTTGCTTTCTTTTTTAGGTCCTTTACCAATTGTCGTTACCTAGTGCAGGGTTAAAAGCCGAATTATTATTATTATTATTATTATTATTATTATTATTATTATTATTATTATTACTACTACTACTACTACTACTACAATTATTATTATTATTGTTTCCTTTCCTTTGATTTCTGCTGTATACTCATTTTCTCCCAAGCCCCAACCATGGCCGTCTCATCCTTAAAGGAATGGTTTCATGATATTTTCCACTGATTATGTTTGCAAAAAAACAAAAAAAAAAAAAAAATAACTAAGATCGTCCGCATTTTACATAGATAAAGCTCTTCGTAATGCGTGAGGTACTTGTGAGAACAATTTTTCTGTTTCCTTTAAGAAATATGTTACAAGGAATCCCTGCAGTGAGTATATCGTAACCTTTTCCCACAATTCGAGGGCACCAACTACAACTGAATTATTGATGCCCTCATGTGCCACAATTTTTAAAGTTCCACTTCATGATCTTGTTTTTTGATAGTTTTTTTTTAATATCTTCAACGATATATAACAGTCTTCAGGGACTGACATATCAAAAAGAAAGCACATTTTGCTTATGTGGTCAGTGTTTACGAAATCTGTCCGTATATATTGGAAAATCTCATAAAATTGGTCTCTCTTTGTAAACGAGTCTGAATGGCATGCATACCAGTCTCTTGCAGTTTACAAAATTATTATTTTTATTATGATAATTCAATGCAGTTACAGTTTGTTAATAATATGTTTATGTGAAGCACAATTAACTGTAAATATTTATTATATTTTATATATTTTCACGGTGATACCTAAAGTTTCGTGGTTATAGCTTAACCAGATTTTAATCAGATACCTAAAGGTAATTGTAACAACCAGATTTTTAATCGAGATACCTTTTCGTATTATAGCTTAACCAGAAGGATACCTAAAGTTTCGTGGTTATAGCTTAACCAGATTTTAATCAGATACCTAAAGTTTCGTGGTTATAGCTTAACCAGATTTTAATCAGATACCTAAAGTTTCGTGGTTATAGCTTAACCAGATTTTAATCAGATACCTAAAGTTTCGTGGTTATAGCTTAACCAGATTTTTTAATCAGATACCTAAAGTTTCGTGGTTATAAACCAGATTTTAATCAGATACCTAAAGTTTCGTGGTTATAGCTTAATTTTAATCAGATACCTAAAGTTTCGTGGTTGTTTAACCAGATTTTTAATCAGATACCTAAAGTTTCGTGGTTATAGCTTAACCAGATTTTTAATCAGATACCTAAAGTTTCTGGAATACCTAAAGTTTCGTGGTTATAGCTTAACCAATTTTAATCAGATACCTAAAGTTTCGTGGTTATTCTAACCAGATTTTAATCAGATACCTAAAGTTTCTGATACCTAAAGTTTTTTATAACTTAACCAGATTTTAATCAGATAGTTTCGTGGTTAATCAGATACCTAAAGTTTCGTGGTAATAGCTTAACCAGCGAATTTCTCAGTATCCTTAAAGGATCCTGGCAGACGTGATCACTGCCTTTGTCTAAAGATTCTTAATACGCATAAGATTAAAGAATTATAAACTCAAGGAAAACTACCATTTTCTAAGCAACATTGTTGACTGGATTAGAGAGGATATACTGGAATACTGAAACCAACAAAAAACAGATTCCTAACACAATCTACTGATGTGATTTTTTAAAAGTTAACGCCATCATAGAATGAAGGGAAACAAGTTTCCGAAACCCTTACTACTCACATACGTTTGAATTTTTTCTGAACATAAATGGGAGCGGAGGAGGTGGAATCCTGAGAGTATTAACAGTTTATCTAAATAAGTTTTCCAAATATTACTCCATGACGATATCCCCTTTCGGTTCGACGCAAAGCTAGAACAAAAGGTCACTTGGTGCTAATCAACCTCATTACTAACTGACAATTACTTCAATGCAAGTGAACAAATTTAAGAATCTGCCACCTGCATTTCATGTTCTCATCCAACTCGTAAACCATTACTATACAGTCGTAATAACTGTTTTTACGTAGTTACTATTTCACGTACTAAGCAGAATTGTCTTTGCTTATCAAAAATTAATTTGATATTGCTCTTTCTTCCGTTGTATATCATTTTATATGCAAGAGAGTATATGTCTGAATGTATGTACATGTGTTTATTTGAGTGGTTTATGCACGGCTGACTATGGACACGTCAAGTGATTCATAATGATAATATAATTAAATATGATTCAGTTAACTGGTCGATAACCTCAATGCTATCCAAAGAGACAAGCACAATTTCATGCCAAGATTTAAAACTTTTCTATAAGTTTCGCTTCGTGAGGGATTTTGTTGTTTATTCCCACAAAGACAAGAAGTTAAAGATTTGGTTAAAAATCAATATTTGAAAAGCTGATGTTTCAAGGAAGACCGACTATAACTACTGTCAAATTGTCACAACACAATCTTTCCCCTTCTGATTTGACACTGGACTAGACTTAACAATATTCTGTTAATTTCTCTATTGACCTTCGTAAATGTGAGATGGAAATGGTGATGAATTGGTTTTCTGCACAGAAATCTAAACCAATCTTTTCATGTTTATTTCTTACTTTAAAAGACATTATTCCATCTACTCTACTTTATCTCGCTAGTGAACTGATACACTAGTCGATGAAGAAGAGATGTGATTGAACGCTTAGAAATTCATTTACTTACACCTATGCTGCTTAACCAGGCAGTAGCAATCACTACTTTCTATTTTCACAATTGACAAATATCGAGTATTTGAAATATAACAAACCGGTGTAAAGATTTCAAGGTATCCTAATTTTCTAGTTACCTCACGGCAAACTGAAATTTAATTAAACAAAAAAAAAGTCAACTACACCATCCTAAAAGCTAGTCTCCCTATCTGACAAAAATAAGAAAAAAAATGTCAGAGAAAAATTCATTATATACTATGCACACGCGAGTATGACATATTGCATGCAAAGATATACAAGGATTCTACCTAATTGTAGATACCTAGAAGGAAAGGAATGTTTTTTTATCAAAATAAATCCCCTTCACGCTACCTCAGGTTTAAATAAACATAAATAAATGTTTGACTGGGTAAGATGAAATCGTTGAGAGTAGGCTGTAATCGTCTATAAGATTCCCTTTGCGTTACTTTGAAATCGATTTCAACATTCTAATAACCAGAACGTGGTTTACCCTCATAATAATTTCAGTGCGTTAATCTGAAGTTAAAATAAGGTGATTTTTTTGTAAATGTAGCTTAGATGTGGCACAAGACCTAAAATATGGAACACCTAGCTAAGAGCGAACTCACTTTTCAGCCATAATTGATTTAGTGAAACAAGCTTGTTAACCAATGTTTCTATGTTGTGCCATTACACTATAATATTAGCTATCTATCTAATTCAGCATTTTATATGATGTAACCTCAGTACTTAGCTGTTACAAGTATTTCCAAGACAATAAACCTTCCGGGAGCTGAGCCACAATCATAAACGTGCTCTATTTACTATCAGCAGCGGAACCCTTTCTGCTCTTGACTAGTATGACTGTATTGCCATACAAACAAGATTGGACGAGTGATTAATGTAAACAATAAATGGCGCCGGTATGTGAGGGACGCTTGGTGAATGTATTCTTGTATGAGAATGACTTTATTTTCTTAAGAATTTCTTTCCACTATTTGGGTGCGTCTTCCAAACCGCAGCGTCTTGTAAGCCGGAAAATACGGTAAGTGATAATTTAACGTAAATCTTATTGTCATTTTTAGCAACGTTAATTCTAAAATTACTTTCAAAATTTTGGTTTATTCTATATTGTATTACATTCTCTGCTGGCATGATGTAAAGAGATTATATTAAATCCATTACTAGGTCTGCTTCTAAGAATTTTGGTTCGTTGTGTCGTGCTAGAAATCTTTTCTTTACATTTTCTCTGGATTACTTTCACTTTCTCCCTCGATTCCTTTACTTTCTCTCTGGCTTACATTCACTTTCTCCCTCGATTCCTTTACTTTATCCCTGGATTACTTTCACTTTCTCTCTCGATTCCTTTACCCTCTCTCTGGATTCCTTTTAATTTCTCCCTGGATTCCTTTATTTTCTCTCTGGATTACTTTCACTTTCACCCTCGATTCCTTTACATTTTCTCTGGATTACTTTCATTTTCTCCCTCGATTCCTTTACTTTTTCTCTTGATTACTTTCACTTTCTCCCTCGATTCCTATACTTTCTCCCTGTATTACTTTCACTTTCTCTCTCGATTCCTTTTCTTTCTCTCTCGATTCTTTTTGCTTTCTCTCTCGATTGCTTTTGCTTTCTCTCTCGGTTCCTTTTACTTTCTCTATCGATTTCTTTTACTTTATTCTCAATATTTCCCCCGCTGTAATGATTCACACTCTTTAATTCACCCCACGCTCTTCTTTTTTTTTATAAATTCTTACCTTTTCTCCTGCATAATGTTCGTCTCTCTCTCTCTCTCTCTCTCTCTCTCTTTTTCAATCTCTCTCAATCTCTATCTATCTATCTATCTATCTCTCACATATTTATTTTATGTAATAACCAGTTTCTCTTCTCTATACTCTCTTCAAAAGCCACCGAAATATAGTCGTTTTCTTTATCGTCTTCTATTTATTTTATTTTGATATTATATAATTCTTTCTGGTGTCATTTCTTTTGTTTTTCTTAATAATTTTCATAATCACGTATTTGTTGTGTTGTATAACTTTGATCTGTAATTTAGAAGCAGAAGGGGGACATGTACATTCTGGATCGGTACAAGAAGCCGTAAAAGGGAAAAGAGGTGTACAACAAAAGTGCTATTTTCTTCTCAACGAATTTGTACAACGAGGTGGCTGTTAAATGACTAGATTAATTACTTAGATTTATTATCGGCAAAACATTAATAGCATTCGATGCAATCCATGGCAGTGTGAGGATGACAGCTTCCGAATAAAAACTGAAAGCAATATTAAACATAGTTGAAGAAAACAAAAAACCCTATTTTACTATTAGTTTTAAGCATACGGACTCTATGTTGGTGCGCAAAAGGAGTAACCAAAGATGTAAGTTACACATCAAGACATTGAGCAAGTGTAGAATTTATACTCTTTACCGTGTAAACAGTATAAAAACTATCGACAGCGTGCAGAACAAACATTTAGAGACATGTATAAATAGCCAAATAATAATTTTGAGATATGTGTATGATTCCCTTGATGCGGCTCCTGTAGCAAGTACGTTTTACGGTGTGTTGCTAATCCCACGAACATTCGGTGTTGTATTTCTCTTTTTTCGGATTATTGTTCTCATCTTTGTCGTTATATTTCTTACAACGTTTCGGCCGCTGTACGCTGTTGGTGGTTGGACTGTTGAACTGAACCCTTTATTTTGCTCACTGGAATAGACTGTTCTAGTTCTCCGCTGCCTTAACCCGGTAATGAATTCACACTCTTTGGGTCCTGTCACTGGATCTAACCAACGCCTTTATCCACTGCGTGCACATCTGTGTATGAATTTCCGGCTATTATAAACATAATGTCTCAAAAAACATTTTTTACGAGTGCTCATATTGAAATTTTTGCTGTTATCATTACAAATTTTTACCAGAGCTCATATTGCAATTTTTGTTGTTATTAACGCTTTTCTCTGGTACCCCTTAATATTGGTTCCCAAATTGTATTCATTTCTATGCTTGGTTGGCTCAGGATATTTTTGTGCCCTAGTCCGAATAATATAAATAGTGTACATAATACCTCATCTCAGAAATATAGACGGTTACCAATCAATCTATCTGATCTGCTATTAGCCAGTAAGGATGGTAAAGATAAGAGATGTATTCACACTTTTCCGTGGGTATTTTTGCAAAAGCAATCACGACAGTCTAGGATGGAATCTAAACCCGACACGTCAATCCCAATATTCGCGCTGATAACCACAAGGTTACCGACACATCCAACGAAGGTACTAAGAAATCGAAAAATAAAACTAGAAACAAAGAGAAGAGTGTGATGTCTACTCTCCAATATGAAAGTGAAAACTGGATAAGGTAATTACCAAATTCCATTTCTAATTACTTTGGGGCTGCATTGCGGGCAGTGAAGCCCACAGACTGAGATGAAATGATAGATTGTTGCCAAATGTTACAACAGGGATTTTCTCTTGCGTTCTTTTCTACATTACAAATTACGGAGATGATGATAAAAATAACTTTGCAATAATCGTTTTCTGAATTCTGCTTTTCAAATGTAAAAATTCAGTGTTTTACATCAGCGGTGGAAACGAAATCCCAAGCGATATCCCTCTTTTAAATCGGGATTTTGAGAGGATTTGAGGTAATAACGCAATCTTCCATTGCTATTCATCCTTCTTTCTTTCTTTTTTTTCTATGTGTCGTGTTCTTTCCAGGCGTAGGTGATCATGGCTCCCTACTTCCCTCAATCCCTTTCAGCTCTCAACAAATTGCTTCCCTCTGCTTCCTCCCCCAGACCACGTTCTGTCATCCATTTGCTTAAAGCCGCTAGTTATGTCATGCATTGTTTTCCCTTGTTTCTCTCTCCCTCTATTCGACCCGTTAGTATCAGACTCTCCAAGCCCTCATCATGTTTCCCAGTAACATCAGTTGCCTTCTCCTGATGTTAAGTATAAACCTCCTCCTTGTTTGCATTCTCTCTAAGACCTCATCGTTGCTCACACGTTCGGTCCATGATATCCTTCGCATCCTTCAAAAAGATTAATTCAGATTTTGTAAATATCTACATTTTCTCTTCTTTCTCCCTTTCCTCTCGTTCACATTTCCTCTCCATTTGCTACCGATTTTGCTTTTATATTTCCGTTTTATTCTTCATATTTACTAAATTTAGATTAGTCCGACATGACAACAAAAATTTTGAAATAGACGTAAGAAAACCGTGTTGAACGAATTCTTAATTTTAAGAAAGACCGTCTTCACTGAAAATCAGCATTCAAATTTATGGCTTTAAATTTGGCTCGAACACGGATACGTAACAATAAAACAGACAAAGAAGGCCAAATTTATTTCTTAATCCTATTCTCCTTCTCTCTCATATCTTCCTTTCTTCTTCTTTTCATTTCTTCTCGTTTATATTGTCTCAGCTTTCTCCTTTTTTACATTCAATATAACGTCTTTGTTTCTCATTAAAACAGAACAAACAACTTTCTGCTCAGTTGGGCCAAAGGATCAGCTGAGATTTATGGTTAATAACAAGTCACTGCTCCAATCCATCTTGTAAAAAGTCCAATATGATGAAGCGGCATTTTGTGATGGCGACCAGGGACGGGCTGGTTGGTCAGTCTGTCCGTTTGTCGATTTGCTCACTGCTTCAAGTTGATTTCATTAGAAAGAGGTGTGGGTGTGTGTAATTCAGCATTTTCAAAGAAATATATCGAAGTATAATTCTTATGCATAACTTGCCTTTCCATCAGCTTCGAGCCACAACATCCATTCCCACTTCCCATTATGTCTTCTTTGTTGTAGCGAGTCTGACATCGTCAGTTCACTTAATGGAGATTTGGTCGACTGGTCGTAGCCGACACAAAACGGAACCGAGGCTAAATTTACTGTACATAACACCTGACATTAAAAATTATTCAACTCCAATGGGAGGATGCTTTCTGGGTAATAATAAACATCTCTCTTTTAAAACTTCAAATAGCAGATGGATTAAAATTTTGAAAAAAAAAGAAGATAAGTGTAATGGATGAAGCAGAATAAGATACATCGCTCAGGTTTCGCTTTTGGGGGGACATTTTTTATTGTACAATAATTCCCATTCTGCCTTATCTCAAGACGGAGAGATCTATGGGAAGGTCAAGAAAAAGAATATGAAAAAATAACTATAACATCTTAAAGAAAATACATAAATATCGAAATCTTGTTATAGTGTCTTGATTGATGTGTCTTCTTGGAAGACCATAATAAAATAAAAATGCGTACATTAACGCAATTGAAAGATCATAAAACACTCGTTCGAAATTAAGTATTTTATTCATGTATAATTCCACATGCGTTAGACACGGAACTTTTCGACATGTTATCACTGAAACTTTTATGTAAATTGAAGTAATTAAAAGTCAAAATTTCTCTCAACGCATATGTAAATTAAGCTAGTTTTATCTTAATTTTCAAAAATACACAACAATTTTAGTTGATTTAATAATGTTCAGCGTAATGCACCGAGTGTTACGAACATTTGGCTCCATCGTAATGATATTCTAAAAATGTCTGAATTGGCCAAAATCAAATATAAGAGTGGCGAAAATTTGGAAAATATAAGAATAGAAATGGTAATTCCTATATAAGAAGATATCAGCAGACTAATTAAATATGATTTTTGCCTGAAACTTTCTGTGTTTCCTCTTTTTCTCTTCCTCATTTTGTGGATATCTGATAAAATGATTGGGATTTATTTAAAGATAAAACCTAGAAATCCTAAGATGTGAACAATTCTAAGAATAAAAACATGACAAAGACACACACACACACACATATGTGCATGTGTGTCTGTGTGCATGTCTGTGTATATTTATAAGATGTATTTAGGTAATAAGCGTCCAGGTGAACAGGTATTACTTAAAGTCAACTGACAAAGAGTTTCGGTTTAAATTCATGATTTATTCTCTTTTATTATTTCAAGTACATTTGACTGACTCAGTCATGAACAAGAACGTGGTGTTTCCAGGTAGTTGAAAGCAATTTTTTGACTGTTACCGTTAAAAGAAAATTAAAAAAAACTTCAGAATTAGAAATTCTGGATTCCGGATATAAAAGGCTGATAAATATACAATAAGGCGAGATTCTACTAAACTCTAAAAAATTCATACATGAATTTGAATATGAATTCTTTTAGCTCTTAATAATGCACACACACACGTGCACACTACAGTATGCGCGCCAATCAGACACAGCGTCTCATGTCATTATATTAGGTTGGTGCAAAAATAATGACGTAATAATGTCGTTTTTTGACGTTAAAAAATACATCAAAAACGACATTATTACGTCATTATTTTTGCACCAACCTAATAGATATAAGTATGCTCCCGTGTGTATATATAAGGGTGAACGGTACTAAATTGTATCAGAATTCGAAGTTATGTATTTTTATTTCTAATCCCTGAATAGGATTTTTCGTGCTTATGGCAATGTGATTATTTATGTACGACTCTCCGCTCTCCTTACCAAACCTGTTTCATCCTGATAATCGGGATAACCGTTTTTAAATCTCCATTATTTATTTTCTTATTTTTCGCCTGATGGAGATTTTCACACGTTGGTGTTTCGTCTGATATCCACTTTATCATATATCTATATATGTATTCCAGAGGCAGGATTTATCTCCAACAACTCTTCCTGGCCCTCTGTTAGGAGATTTTTTTTTTGTTTACAACTTGTTGCAAAATAAATCCATTTTTTTCAGTTCTAACGAGAATCATTACATTTATTTTTCTATACTGAATACATATACAATCATAATAAAGGACGATATTGTATAAAAGCGTATATAAGAATGATAATTTTTCAGTGCTGAAATCATTCTGAGATGAGTAACCTCCCTTTATTCATGTCCGATAACTCGCCAGAGTCGAACGGCCGCTACATGGTGGCTTAATCACAAAGAAATCT